GAACTAAAACCTATGTTCCTCATACTATTCCAAAAAAGTCAAGAGGAAGGAACACTTTCAAGCTCATTCTATGAAGCCAGCATCACCCTAATACCAAAACCAGATAAAGACAACACTATGAAAAGAATTACAGGCCACTATCCTTCATGAACAGATGCCAACAACCTCAATAAAATTCTAGCAAATTGGATCCATCAGACAGATCATACACCATGATCAAGTAGGATTTATCCTGGGGATGCAAAGATGGTACAACAATCGCAAATCAATAAACGTGATACATCACATTAAAAAACCGAGACATAAAAATCACATAGTCATATCAATTAATGCAGGAAAAGCATTTGACAAAATCTAACACCCCTTCTTGATAAAAACTCTCAGCAAGGTGGGAATAAAAGATCACATCTCAACATAATAAAAGCCACATATAACAAACCCACAGCCAACATCATACTCAATGGGCAAAAACTAAAACTATTTTCCCTAAGAACAGGAACCAGACAAGGATGCCCACTCTCACCACTCCTACTCGACTAGAAGTACTAGCCATTGCAATCACACAAGAAGAAGGAATAAAAGGAATCCATATTTGTAAATGACATGATACTGTACAGAGAAAATCCTAAAGACTCCATCAAAAAATTATTAGACTTAATAAATGAATTTGGCAAGGTAGCAGGATACAAAATTAACACCAAGAAATGTATGGAATTTCTATACACCAATAGTGAACTTACAGAAAAAGAGACTAAAAAAGCAATCCCGTTGACCATCGCACCAAAAATAATTAAGATACCTAGGAATAAACTTAACTAAGGAGGTAAAAGACCTATACATGGAAATCTATAGGGAACTGAAAAAAGAGAGAGAAGAAGACATAACCAGATGGAAGAACAGACTCTGCTCATGGATTGTTAGAATCGACATCATTAAAATGTCCATACTACCCAAAGCAATCTATAGATTTAATGCACTTCCCATTAAAATACCAACGGCATGTTTCACAGATCTAGAACAAACATTCAAAAAATTCATCTGGAATAAAAAAAGACCCCGAATAGCTGCAGCGATCCTGAGAAAGAAGATCAAAGTAGGTGGGATCTCAATACCAGATATCAAGCTGTATTACAAAGCCACTGTATTCAAAACAGCTTGGTACTGGCTCAAGAACAGACATATAGATCAATGAAATAGAATAGAGAACCCAGAAATCAACCCAAACCACTATGCTCAATTAATGTTTGACAAAGGAGGCAAGAACATACAATGGAGTCAAGACAGTGTCTTCAATAAATGGTGTTGGGAAATTTAGACAGATACATGTAAAAAAAATGAAACTAGACCACCAACTTACACCATGCACAAAAATAAACTCAAAATGGATAAAGAACTTAAACATAAAACAGGAAAACATAAAAATACTAGAGCAGTGATGGCGAACCTATAACACGCGTGTCAGAGGTGTCCCGCGAACTCATTTTTTCAGTTGATTTTTCTTTGTTAAATGGCATTTAAATATATAAAATAAATATCAAAAATATAAGTCTTTGTTTTACTATGGTTGCAAATATCAAAAAATTTCTATATGTGACACGGCACCAGAGTTAAGTTAGGGTTTTTCAAAATGCTGACACGCTGAGTTCAAAAGGTTCGCCATCACTTTACTAGAGGAATCCACAGGCAGCAAAATCTCAGACAAATGCTGAAGCAATGTCTTCACTGATACAGCTCCTAGGGCATTGGAAACTAAAGAGAAAATAAACAAATGGGACTACATCAAAATAAAAAGCTTCTGTATAGCCGAAGCCGGTTTGGCTCAGTGGATAGAGCGTCGGCCTGCGGACTGAAAGGTCCCAGGTTTGATTCCGGTCAGGGGCATGTACCTGGGTTGTGGGCATATCCCCAGTGGGAGATGTGCAGGAGGCAGCTGATCGATGTTTCTTTCTCATCAACGTTTCTAGTTCTCTCTCTCCATTCCTCTCTGTGAAAAATCAATAAAATATATTTTTAAAAAAAGCGCGTCTGCACAGCAAAAGAAACCATCAACAAAACAACAAGAAAGCCCACTGCATGGGAGAACATATTGCCAATGTTATCTCTGATAAGGGTTTAATCACCAACACTTACAGGGAACTCATACAACTTAACAAAAGGAAGATAAACAACCCAACCAAAAAATGGGCAGCAGACCTAAATAGATATTTTTCGAAAGAAGACAGAAGGAAGGCCAAGAGACATATGAAAACATGCTCAAAGTCACTAATCATGCAAGAGATGCAAATCATAACGACAATGCGGTACCGTCTCACACCTGTCAGAATGGCTATCACCAATAAATCAACAAACAACAAGTGTTGGCGAGGATTCGGAGAAAAAGGAACCCTCATGCACTGCTGGTGGGAATGCAGACTGGTGCAGCCACTGTGGAGAACAGTATGGAGTTTCCTCAAAAAACTAAAATGGAACTCCCATGTGACCCAGTGATCCCACTTCTAGGAATATATCCCAAGAAGCTAGAAACACCAATCAGAAAGGATATATGCACCCCTCTGTTCAGAGCAGCACAATTCACCATAGCTAAGATTTGGAAACAGCCTAAGTGCCCCTCAGCGGATGAGTGGATTAGAAAACTGTGGTACATCTACACAATGGAATACTACGCTGTGGTAAAAGAGAAGGAATTCTTACCATTTGCAACAGCATGGATGGAACTGGAGAGCATTGTGCTAAAGTGAAATAAGCCAGTCAGAGAAAGATAAATAGCACATGATCTCACTCATTCATGTAATATAATGACCAACATAAACTGAGGAACAAAAACAGACCTATGCCGACGCAATAACTTCACCGATACAGCTCCTAGGGCAATGGAAACTAAAAAGAAAATATACAAATGGGACGACATCAAAATAAAAAGTTTAGATCCAGAGACAGAGAAGCATCGATCAGACCATCAAACCTCAGGGGGAAAGTAGGGGAGGGTGGGGTTAAGGGGGAGAGATCAACCAAAGGACTTGTATGCATGCATAGAAGCTTAACCAATGGACTCAGACAATAGTGGGGTGAAGGCATGAGTGGGAGGGTGGGGGGTAAATGGGGGGATAAGGACACATATGGAATAACTTCCTCAATAAAGAAATTTTTTAAAAAAGTAAAAGAAAGCCAGTCCTCAGGTTCACGCTGTCACTCCTGAGCTATTACTACCATGACCAATTGACCATGATTCCCTGTATTAAAGTGATCTACAGTCCTGGCTGATGTGTCTCAGTTGGTTGAGCATAGACCCACGCACTGGTGAGGTCACATGCCTCGGTTGTCGGCTGGATCCACAGTAGGGGTTGTGTAGGTGGCAACCAATCCTTGCTTCTTGCTCATCCCTGTTTCTCTCTCTCCCTTTCCCTTCCTTTCTCCCTCTCCCTTCCTTTCTACATCTAATATCAATAAAAATATAGTTGTACTTTAAAAAGTATGACTGCAGGTTCCTGATTCAGCTCACTCCTCACTCCCAGCCTTTGCACATTCTGGACCCTATGTCTGGAGGACCTCGCACTCATTACACTGGTTGCCACAAACCAGGTCCACGTCATGAAGCCCTAGTCCTGGCTTTAGGAGTCTGGGTTGAGTGTCTGTTAAAGTCCCCAGGTCCAAGGGCTACAAGAGCGGCTGACAGTCCCAGGACTCCACTATCTCAGAGGCCACAAGGGGGTGAGGCCCTGAAATACGCTCCACAAACCCGTGCACCTAATTCATTCTGCATTTGGAAAAATTTGTGGAAAGAAAACGGTCTGTTTTCAGCCTGACACCCACCAGGCTCTATGGGCTCAGGCTGCTCATGCCCAGCCCCGAGGCCAGGTGCCCTCCAGACGCCTGTGTTATCTCAGGGCTCAGTCCTCAGTGCTCACCCTGCCAGTTCCCTTATCATTGACAGGACTTCCCCTTCCTGTCCACACTGCTGTCCTCTGTCCTCCAGGCTGTCCTTCCTCTGAACAATGTTAGGAAAAGTTAGAATCCGGCCTCAGAAAATGTGTCTCTTCTTTTCACAGCGTCCTGAGAGTGAAAGGAAAACTCCTCCTGTAAACCACACCTCGTCTCTTTGATGCCTTTAAGGGGTGGGCAAACTTTTTGACTCAAAGGCCACAGTGGGTTCTTAAACTGGACCCGAGGCCGGGACAAAAGCATGGATGGAGTGTTTGTGGGAACTAATATAAATTCAAAGTAAACATCATTACATAAAAGGGTACGGTCTTTTTTTTTTTAGTTTTATTCATTTCAAACCGGCCGGATCTGGCCCGCGGGCCGTAGTTTGCCCACGGCTGCAAGTTTACACCCACAACAGGCCCGGGTCCCGAGTCCTCCTGCGCAGTCGCACCATCACGTCCTCACAAGGCGGCCCTGCAGCCTTTCCCCCTCTTCCCCCATCAGCCATGTGTCACCCACGAGGGACTCACCATTCTGAGCGCTGGGACCTGGGCGGCGGGACCTGAGAGGCCGGTCCCCAAGGCTGGAGGGTGAAATGGCGTCCGGCTGCGGGGACGCTGTGAGCAGAGAGGAGTCCGGGAGGCACGGGGACCCCAATCTCGGGCTGTTGGGCTCAAGGAGCCTCAGACACACCCCGCACGGCAGGCGCGCTGCCTCCCAGGCCTCCTCCTCCTCACGACCAGCGCCCTGAAGCCTGGGAGTCTGTGAAAAAAGAACTAAAAGTTTAAAATGGCCGCCGCGAAGAGGAAGGCGGAAGTCCCGCCCTAACCGGATGCGCAGACACGGAAATGCCCTTGAGCACCGCCCACAAGGGTGCAGTTCCTTCTGGGTAATGTAGTTTTCTCAACCTCTCAGGGCAGGGCTAGCATCCCAGCCAATGACTTAGGTCAATAAAGGTGATGTGACTGAAACCGGTTTGGCTCAGTGGATAGAGCGTCGGCCTGCGGACTGAAAGGTTTCGGGTTCGATTCCGGTCAAGGACATGTACCTGGGCTGCGGGCACATTCCCAGTGGGAGATGTGCAGGAGGCAGCTGATCGATGTTTCTCTCTCATTGATTTTTCTAACTCTCTGTCTCTCTCCCTCCCTCTCTGTATAAAATCAATGAAATATATTTTTTTAAAAAGGTGATGTGGCCCAGTAAGAGATGCCTGGGGAGGGAGTAGATGGGACCAGAGGCCTGGCTAACTGCAACAGACTGACAGATCTCCGAGGAAAAGAGGGTGGGGAGGACTGGAAGAGATCCACCAAGAATATATACACAGGGGGAAATTGGAGACATTCGTAATAGTATCAATAGGAAAAAAAATACACGTATTTTTAAAATTTTTAAATAATGAAGCCCAGCTGGTGTGTCTCAATGGTTGAGCATTGACCTATGAAACCGGAACTCATGGTTCTTTTCCTAGTCAGGGCACATTCATGGGTTGCAGGCTCAATCCCAGTGTGGGGATGGAGTTGTGCAGGAGGCAGTTAATCAGTGATTCTCTCTCATCATTGATGTTTTGATCTCTCCCTCTCCCTTTGACCCCCTAAAATCAATGAAAATAAATTCAATAATGTATATACATATATGCATAGCCCATGGACATAGACAATAATGTGGTGAGGGCCTAGAAGAGGTGGGGGCAGGAGAGAGGGAGGAAAAAGGTAAGGGGTGTGGGGGAAATTTGGGGACATCTGTAACACAGTCAACAACAATCACAAAAGAATAGTGTGCACAGCCAGTGTTGCTCAGTGGTGGGGTGTGTACCCATGAAGCAATATGTCACGGGTTTGATTTCAGGTCGAGGCACATGCCCAAGTTGGCGGCTCCATCTTAGGAGGTTGGGCAATGCAGGAGGCAGCTGATTAATGATTCTCTTTCATCGGTGATGTTTCTTCCTCTCCCTTTCTCTCTAAAGATTCAATAAAAACATTTTAAAATGTATGGCGTTAAGATTGATTTGACTCATCAACAGCAAAGTGAGTGTGGGCCATCACGCTGTCTCCCAAGTCTTGTAAGCAAAGTCATGCCTTGATCTGTGTTTATAGCAGATGTCCCAGGCATAACCAGCCTGGAGCACGTCTGCGTGAGGTTGGCCTGTGGTGCTTGTGTTCTTGACTTCATGCAGAAAAGATTTCACAACATGCGTTCAGAAAATCTTGAGGGAACATTCATTTAAGCCGGGGATGATGAAAGAATGTAGATGTCTTAGATGCTGAATGTTCTGCCTATTTTTAAGTCATAAATCCATTTTAAAAATTGGCAAAAGTTTCTGACCAGACTTTTCAACAAAAGAGATAAAGACAATGCAAATAAATGCACAAAGAAATGCTCACCATAAAATTTTTTTAGGGGGATGGATTTTAAAACAAAACAAGTTAACAGTATAATGATTTTCATGCCGGCAATTTAAAAATATTATATATTGCATGAGCTCACCTGGATAAAGAAAAACTAGAATTTTCATTCTTGTGGGTGTCTGGAAAGCCAAAGAGAATGTCCATTTTAGATCACAGTTCTGCATGTCTTAAAAAGCAAAACCTCACCTACACTACAACAGTTAGATATGTAGAACATATACATATGAAGAACATAACCCAAGTTCCCCCCAAATTTATTTATAATGCCCCAAACCTAGAAATAACATAAACCATAGATCAATAAAGTGGTTATTCCCTGACCACAATACTACTCAGCAATAAAAAATAATAAGCTTTTCACATAAGCATTAGTGTTGAATCTCAAAACAACTCTGTAGCATGAAAGAGTCCCATATTTGTTCAAGTATACACAAATTATAGTGTTTAGAACATTATAAAAAATATGAACTAATCTTTTAAAGTAGGGAAAATGAATGACTGCATTTAGAGCTGGGGAAGGCAGAAAGAGAGATTCTAAAAGGGCAGGAGGTAAATATAGGGTGTGGTAAAGTAGGTTTAGGGTTGTTAGTATGGAAAATAATATAAGGATTTATAATCAATAACACAAGAATAACCTCTTCCCTGGCCATTGTACTTCAGTTGGTTGGGCACCATCCCTTTCCCTGAGTTGCCATGGGTTCCATTCCAGGTCAGCCCTCATGCCTGCCTGGATGCCCTGTAGTTGACGTGCAGGAGGAAGCAGTTCAATGTTTCTTTCTCATATTGCTGTTTGTCTCTCTCTCTTCCACGCTTTCTAAAAGGTCAATAAAAATATTTTAACTATAAAAAAGACTTATATAAAATAAGAGAATAAACTCTGTGATTTGCATACTCACATCTGTAAGCCTACTTTTGCTCTAACCTGCACATGGGTGAGATATATGTTTATTTCACATGTGACATTTTTACAACTTTATCCATATGTCCAAGCTCACCAAATAGTACATACTACAACAGTGCATTTTGCTGTATGTCAGTTTTATTTTATTTTTTTAAATATATTTTATTGATTTTTTACAGAGAGGAAGGGAGAGAGATAGAGAGTCAGAAACATCAATGAGAGAGAAACATCAATCAGCCACCTCCTGCACATCTTCTACTGGGGATGTGCCTGCAACCAAGGTACGTGCCCTTGACCGGAATTGAACCGGGGACCCTTCAGTCCGCAGGCTGACGCTCTATCCACTGAGCCAAACCCGTTCGGGTGTATATCAGTTTTAAATATACTTAATAAAGTCTTTTAAAAAGTACTTCCAAATAAAGAACTGGATGTGCCTGTCTTGTTAGGAAATTAAAATCACAACCACATATGGGCTCTTCCATCTCTCTCCAAATTTCCTGGGAGGAGCAGCCTTGGCACAGGAGCAGCGAATATCGGCAGCAGTGAAGACTATGGCCATCGGAATCCACAGGAATTCTGACTGGTTACGAAAAATAAATCCTAAAAATACACAGTTAGAGAATTATCCTTCCTCAGCTCTGAGGTCTTGCCATTTGAGGAAACCTTGACGTGAGGCCAGGGGCTCCAACAAACTCTTTTTTTTTTTTAAATCTTTATTGTTCAGATTATTACATTTGTTCCTCTTTTTTCCCCCCATAACTCCCCTCCTTCCAGCTCCCACCCCACCCTCCACCCTCACTCCCCACCCGCTGAGTTCATCCATAGGTGCATGATTTTTGTCCAGTCACTTCCCGCATCTCCCACACCCCTTTTCCCCTAAGAATAGTCAGTCCATTCCCTTTCTATGTCCCTGATTCATTATAATCACCAGTTCATTCTGTACATCAGGTTATTTATTCACTTGATTCTTAGATTCATTTGTTGATAGATGCATATTTGTTGTTCCTAATTTGTATCTTTACCTTTTTCTTCTTCCTCTTCTTAAGGGATACCTTTCAGCATTTCATATAATACTGGTTTGGTGGTGATGAACTCCTTTAGTTTTTCCTTATCTGTGAAGCTCTTTATCTGACCTTCAATTCTGAATGATA